TTGGGGACCAGTGGTGAACAGCAGTTTTCAGGGCATTCAGAATCTCACTCAGGTCTTAACCCATGTAAAGAGTTGAATCCAAAATGAAACTTCCCCTCCTTCCCTCTCTTACAGTGGAGCTTCAGACTCCACCATCAGGGTGACTCCTGCCACTTGTGGATGATATGTCAGAAATTCTGGATGTGTGTTAATTGATCAACTTGCTTCATCTAGTCTTTCCAGACCATCAAGGCAGTGCATACACATCCCCTCCCAATCCAGCTCCACAAAGTCTCCCTCTTTTTCCAAGAAGGGCTGGTTCTCACACTCTCAGAAACTTCACTAGATAACTTTGAAACTTCCAAAACCTCTACCCCACTTTTTTCTTCTACCTCCTCAGAATTGGATGAATCTATCTGAGCAACCTGAAATTCATTTTTTGTACATATTTGTTTGAGAATTCCGTTTAGTTCATTTGAGAGATATTACAGAAATGTTGGTAACATCAGAGGTACTAGAGAAGGGGGATTTAAGTGAATCTCCATGATTGGATGAAGTGAAATGAAAACTAAATTTCCTTAATTTTTATTGTTTGCTTCTTTTTTAAGAATCTAAAAGTTATCCCTTGGACACCAAACAAGTAATTTAGGCTGAAATCCTATTCTCAATTCCTAGGCATAAGCCCAATTGAATTCATAGGACTTACATCTGAGTAGACAAGTAAAGGATTGTGATTTTCAAAATATGTCTTCCTATGTGCCCATATCTTGCATTTATATTTAGTATGACAAACTGCTGCATAAAGAAATATATGATTATATACAGTTAGGAGGTATACCACAAAACAACCATCGAGAAACATGGTGTGACAGAAGGTGGCAGAGGAAACCAGTGTAAGAGGAATTTAAAATATTTCAGTGCTGTTTACAAGCTTACATGCAATGTGCAGTGTTTTTTTAATGGAGATTTTCTTCCTTAATTACATTGTCTTCCTCTGCCTAGTTTACTGCACCACATTTCTGAGGTTTTAGAATTAAAAACAACCAAAGGAAAAATACTAAAGTTCTTACGTCAGTTCTTCAAATACTACTGGTGGTGGTCTTCTAGTGAAGGACATTGGACTCAAGACAATAAAGGTCTGAGAAACAATGCCACCAATAAGGACATCCCCTGATTGATGGTACTTGCGAAGTGGAGGATGTGGATCCTAAATCATGCATTTAATCATGCTAGTCTTGCATCCAATGTGAGGAAACAGTAGCAGCAGCAGCACTAGCAATACCTTCATGCTAAGGTACAAGTACAAATCTTCACTCAAGACAAAGGTGCATCTATTTTATCTACAACTCCATCTTTTAAAAGTCTTTGTGGTTTCAGCAAGTCAATCTGGTCAGTGATAGGCCTGAGTTGAACCATGGGGTATAAAACTCCTTTGCTCCTAAACTGGTTTTCAAATGGTATTTACACCATCTTTCATGCTTTTTGCTCTGAGTTTGGCTAGTAGTCACTGAAATCCCATTGGAGTTCTTCCAAGCAGAAGAACAAATTACATTCCTTCTGACAATTAAATAATTAAAGGAATAATTAAATTTGATAATCAAAGGGAAAGGAAATCATGACGGTTTTCAAAAGGATTCTCTGTGGAATTCCTGAGGAAAATGTACCGTTATTGTTACCATTATTATTATGGTCATAATACCCTTCCACTTAGATGAACACCAAGTGACCCATGATGAGAATAGGACATAAAAGAAAAATAGAAAGAAAACAAAACAAAAGTAAACAACTTTGATGATGGAATTGGACTGTAACTCTGCCAATTTGCAGGAAGAATTCATGCGTTTGCTTTCATTGTTCTTCCACTGTTTCTTTTCCTTGAAGCACAAGGTAGATTGCTTTAGCTGCTTTCCTTGACTAACTCTAGCAAATGCTTATTGCTTAGACTGTCTCCAGAAAGTACAGGAGCACAGTATTTATTTCTATACATTCAAACAAATCCCTATTGAACTCAATAAGGCTTGCACCTGAGAAGATATGCATAAGGCCTGGTTCGTCCAGGTCCTAAGAAAGATCTGGTTCCACCCTCAAAGGCCTGCTGTGAAAACTTTGCCAAGCATTTCAGGTAGAAAATCGCTCAGATTCGTCACGAGCTGGACTCTACTAGTGACTCAGAGGTTTCTGGGGAGACACCAATGCAGCCGTCTGGTCCAAAATTAATGGATGAATTTCAGTTATTGCGGCCTGATGATGTGCACAAGGTGCTTGAACAAGTACGAGCACATCCCACCACTTGCCTATTGGACCCTTGCCCATCTTGGTTAATAAATAACACCAAGCATGGGATTGGGATCCGGATCTTGGAAGTGGTTAACGCTCCTCTGAGGTAGGGTTGGGTACCTGCCCCTTTAAAGGAGGTGGTAGTCCAACCGGTCCTGAAGAAAGCGTCACTGGATCCAGAGATGGCCACTAATTATAGACCAGTGGCCAACATCCCATTTCTGGGGAAGGTGTTGGAGCGGGTGGTGGCAGGACAACTCCAAGCACTCTTGGATGAAACTGATTATCTGAACCCATTTCAGTCAGACTTCAGACCCGGGTATGGTACTGAATCTGCCTTGGTTGCCCTTTACGATGACCTGTGCAGGGAGAAGGACAGGGGGAGTGCGTCCCTGTTGGTTCTTCTGGACCTCTAGCGGCTTTCGATACCATCGACCATGGTATCCTTCTGGATAGGCTAGCAGAATTGGGGGTCGGAGGCACCGCTTTGCAGTGGTTCCGCTCCTATCTCAATGACTGTTTCCAGAAGGTGGAGCTAGGAGACTATGGCTCTGCACCATCGCAGCTTTGCCATGGAGTACCGCAGGGTCCATTTTGTCCCCCTTGCTGTTTAACATCTACATGATACCGCTGGGAGAGGTCATCAGGAGGTGTGGGCTGCGGAATCATCAGTACGCTGATGATACCCAGCTCTACCTCTCGTTTTCCACCAATCCGGGTGAGGCAGTGGCTGTGCTGAACTGGCGCCTGGCAGAGGTAATGGGCTGGATGAGGGCCAATAAACTGAAGCTCAATCCAGACAAGACGGAGGTCCTGTTGGTTGGCGGATTGGGCTTCGGTGAGGGTGAGTTGAACCTAGTCCTGCATGGGGTTGCACTCCCTCTTAGGGACAATGTCCGCAGCTTGGGAGTGCTCCTCAACCCAGAGCTTTCATTGGAAGCTCAGGTGACAGCAGTGGAGAGGAGCGCTTTCTCTCAGCTTCAGCTGATCCATCAGCTGCGACCCTACCTGGAGTACGACTGCCTGGCGACAGTGACACATGCGTTGGTGACTTCCTGCCTTGACTTCTGTAACATGCTCTACATGGGGCTACCCTTGAAGATGGTCTGGATACTTCAATTGGTTCAAAATAGCGCTATCAGGCTGCTGACGGGGACTGGGAGTTATGTTCACATGACTCCAGTCCTCCGTCAGCTTCACTGGCTTCCCATTGAAGTCTGGGCCCAATTCAAGGTGTTGGTGATGACCTATAAAGCCCTAAACGGCTTGGGTCCTGGTTACCTGAAGGAGCGCTTACGTCCATATATGCCCGCCTTCCCCCTGAGATCAGCAGGAGAGGCCCTTCTCCCGGAACCTTCCGTGAAGGAAATTAGGAGGGTAAGTACTCAGAGGAGGGCTTTCTCTGCGGTGGCGCCCAATCAATGGAATGCGCTCCCCAGAGAGGTCTGCCTGGCGCCGTCGTTATTTTCGGTGCCAGGCGAAGACCTTTATATTCAAACGTCATTTTAACTGTTAATAGTATTTATTTATTTTATTCTTCGGCCAGGGAACTCATAACTGGTTCTGTATGCTCCCTACCCTGCAGCGCTGTTGTGTTGTCTCTGTCAGAGGTGTACCTGGTTGTCCTGTCAATACACTGCTGACATGGATTAAGTTTGGATTCAAGGTTACATTCTCCTGGTTCTGCAAACTGAGATTTCCTGACACTTACAAAGTGCTTAGAAGATGGTGTCGTGAGGTGGTCTCATGTTTCAATTAACTCACACAGCAGGCCGTATATCAGCTATAAACTTTTATTGCTACATTCTACAAGATTTACAACATAACTGATAAGCTCCACTACCGAGCTTCCTACCGGCTGCAGTTTCTGCTTCTTTCTGAGTTCACTATGAAAGCAGCATGTGGTATCAAACCTTCCTGTTTCATCTTTCTGCCCGACAGCGTGACAGACCCTCGTCCCTTCATCGTAATTGGTTCTGTCGTGTCAAGGCTCTTCTATTTCAGGCGGATGCTAATTCTTTCGCTGAACCCTGTTCAGCAGCTTCAGGGTCTGGAGCCGGGATGGGGGGTGGGTGGGCCTCTTTCTCAGGCATTCCAGAGCTAGAATCAGAGGGAGCTACTCTCTCAGACACTTTCCCCTTGGTCTGTGGGGGGGTTCTGTGCTCAGGGGCCAAGGGATGAGGTGGAGGAGAGGTTTTTTGCTCAGCAGCTAGAGAGTCAGGCTGTGTCTGGGCCGTCTGAGCATTGGTTCTCAAATATAAGTCTCCTTGGTTAATTGCCAAACTCTCACTGCCAGCTCCTGTCTCTTTCTTGCAATTAGACATCTCGGCCGAGACGTCAGGCACAACAGATGGTTATGACCTTCTTTTGTTTTGCTTTCTGAAGCAAAGAGCTTTGTTCAAAGTCCATGGAAATACGGAAGTGACTAGCATTCCTCAATGGAGAGTCTCCATGAAGGGAGCATGCTACGTCATTGTTCATTTGCATGTGAGGGGCACTTTTCTGTCCACCTGCAGGACATTCCATACAGAGCAAGGCCATTGACTTCAGTGAAGCTTTGTCTAAAGTGGAAAATGTTAAGATCACAAGATGAAAACTTTAAAAAAAAACTATGTGCACAAAACTTTCCCTTGGCAAAAGAAAAAAGGAGAGGGAGAGGGAGAGGGAGGGGGAGGGGGAGGGAGAAAAAATGGGCATGCAGATAGATTACAAACTGCAGCAAAATGTGCAGACAGGTAAATTTGTCAAGCTGTTCTCCTTATTAGATGTTCCTTTTTGTTCAACTCAGGTTGCAGCAAAATGATGTAACATTTGGGGAAGAAGATGCAAACCAGCAAGCCAGAACTGGAGGCTAAGATAGAAAAGATCCCTACAGTCACCAGGTATTTCCCTTTAGTGCTCAAATAGGAAGGCACAAAGGATAACCAGACACTGCAAAAGACCAGCATGCTGAAAGTGATGAACTTTGCTTCGTTGAAACTGTCTGGCAGCTTCCTGGCTAGGAAAGCCACCATGAAGCTGACCATTGCCAGGAAGCCCAGATAGCCCAGGACACAGTAGAACATCGTCATGGATCCCTCATTACATTCAAGGATGATTTCCTCAGGCACTGAATGCATGTCCATATCTGGAAAAGGAGGAGAAGTTGCCAACCAAGCAAGACAGATCCCACCCTGAAGAAGGCAACAGGAAAAAATGAGGATGTTGGCCAGTGTCTTCCCCATCCACTTTCTCATCTTGCATCCTGGTTTGGTGGCTCTGAAGGCCAAAACCACCATGACCGTCTTTGTGAGCACACAAGATATGGCCACTGAGAAGATGATGCCAAAAGCAGTTTGTCGCAAGAGACACGTCACTTGATGTGGCTGGCCGATGAAGAGCAGTGCGCAAAGGAAGCAGAGCAGGAGGGAGACAAGGAGAGTGTAGGTGAGGTGCCGGTTATTGGCTTTGACAATGGGAGTCTCATGATGCTTCAGAAATATTCCTAGCACCAGAGCTGTGGTTAAGTAGAGGAGAATAACAAAAGCTGCCAAAATGATGCCCAAGTGTTCTTCATAAGAAAAGAAGTTTACTGATTTGGGAATACAGAAATCCTGGTGTTTCGTTGGGTACTTTTCATCTTCACATGAATAACAGAAAGGCATATCTGAAGAAGAATGAATATATGCATTTTCTCATACATTCTAAAGCTCTGACCAAGTATCCATTCCATGCACAGCCGTACACCTAGTTGATCCTGACTTAATTCACAGATGAAAGCAGCTGAGCATGCTCTATGCAGTGAACAGGGTCTTGGGGGTTTATGGTCACTATCATAGATATTCTCAACCTTAGAACAAGTGTTATTGAACTGAAAGGGATTTTTTATGAATAAACCTGCACAGAAATAGGCTGGACTTCATTTAAGGGATGTTGGGAGATGCAGAACTAAAGCAAGATTTTGCTTTTAAAACATAGAGATAGGATACTGGGGCTCTGATTACAGAAATGTACTGCCTGTGACCAGAATGCCTTCATTATGCATTATTCATTACTCATGAGTTATGATGTTTTTGCATCAATGGAATAAGCTGTGCAGTACTCAAGGGCAACCTTTTAAACCGTATGGTTCAGTATTTGAATGAGCCAACCATTCTGAATATTTAGAATCCACTGCAGTTGTGTCATTTGAAACAACAGTGGCAAACAATCACCCACATGTTTACGCACACCTATCTCCCTGACTATCCAGCATCTTCCACCTGATTCCAACTTGCTCCATTAGATCATGTTTGAATTCCTGAAGAAAGCTCTTTTAAACACCCTTTCTTGATTTTACCAAATATATTTGGCATGGATGTGTATTCAAATTCCTACCTTTATTGATTGAAATCATCCCTTCAGGACATGGGATGCAGTCATAGCAGCAAAATGGCTCCTCTTCGTTGACCTTCTTCCTAGAACCAGGATTGCAGCTCTCACTGCACACAGATAGAGGCTGTGCCTAAGTCATCAATGGAGGAGGAAAATAAGAATCATGGAATTTATTCAATTGAATTCTTCCAGTTCTGCAATCTCTTTGTAAGTTTCCACCTCTCCAGGAGATGCTTTACCATAAATATTCTCTGTGATTCAGACTTTGATAATTTCTTAACAAAAATTAGACTTAAATGAAATTGTCATTTATCTGTCATAGCCAAAAAGAAAAGGAACATGCAGTTCACATCCCTGCAAAATTGCTATTACAGATCAGAAGCAAACTGAGAACTGGCTGGATTCACACTTGGACTTTTGAGATGTATGCACCAAAATCTCTTCATAGGATTCAACAAAAATGATAGTTTCCATTTCTTCCACATTCAGATTGTTTTAATTGTAAGTTCTTTGCATCTCAAATATACTGATGCTTCTTAATTTTGGTAAAACCTTATATAAAATAAATGAAACAACATCCATCCCCAAAAGAGGAGAGAAATAATAAAATAACACATATTGCAAAAGAGAAAACTGGACATGGTACATTTTTACAATGTACTTGGTCAAATCGTAGTCATTCTTAGAGCACACCCGTGGAAATTAACCAGACATTAATCATAACTAATTTCAGTTTTGTTTATTTCATTGTACACCCCTAAGTATGACTAGACCCCAGTCCGAACATATGCTTATAATTGCATAATGTTCTCTAGTTTCTTAAAGAGGCAGAGTTGAGCCAAAAATACTATTATGAATTTTATTATTTTCAAACCAACAGCAAATTAATAAAATTTTATGATAAAATTATCTCATCAACTATTTCATGTGCTTAATTCAGCAGCAGAGGAACCAGAGTGGAAGCTTTTTGGGTCTCATGCACTGCATCACATATTTTGCTATCCAGTTCCACTTAAGTATTTTTCTAGGTCCATTGCTATCACATGAAATAAAATGCACGTGTCACTTCTGAGATGGTTATTCAAATGTGTAGATTGTGCCAATCCTCCAAGAATCAGACCTGATTAAACCAGCTGTTCCATGTTATTGCTTCTGGGCTGATGGTGAATGCTTGGCCTGGAGCAGCCTGGGCATCCATCCTCCCAACCTTCACTCTTTGAAAGGATTGGTTTGAGGACACTATCCAATTGATCACATCGAATCCAGTTACCAGCTCTCCATTCTCATTAAAAGAAACCTCATCTCCAGCACTGTTGTTAAATGAAACAAGCTTCAGAAAATGATGGAGCTGGATTGAAAAGGAAAGAGCTTAGAAAAATGGTGATCATCTAGTTCAAAGATGAATTCAATGAATGTCTCTACTTTATTTTGATATATTTTATTATCTACAAAGATGTATTTCTCCTCCACATGAGACTATTCAGTGCATTACCTGCCACTGTGCTTGGTTCTGAATCATCTGTCCACCTCTGGTCACCATTCCTTTTCTCTTCAGACCAGATGAAGACAAGGCATGCAAGGCATGGGCCACCACATGGACAGCATTGTAGACGTTGTAGCTGTGGCCAGTCAAGCTCATTTCAAAAAAAGTTGCAGGAAGACGCTCCAGCTTCTCATCCCCAGTGCACATATTCCCATTGTCCAGAAATTGATCTGGGAAAACACAGCTGAAAGCCTGTTGCCAGAATGACCTAATAAAACCATCTCCCTTTGAACTAGAAGGGGTTTTTGCCTTAAGAAATTGCTGAAATCCTAGGACATGGTTGGACTGAATTTTGAAAGCAAGAGCACCATGGAAAAAGTCTGTGTTCCAATTCCTTTGAACAACAAGTGATGTGAGCTCCACCTGAGCTGTCACAATTATCACTTTACCAATTGGTGCATTTGTCACATGTTCTCGTTCTGATAGATATGGAAGGAATCTTAAAAATGCCATGGAATACGATTCTCCATTGACCATCAATACCTTGGCTGTGCTGTCCACAATGGTATCATGTATTTTTGCCCCCTTGTTAAGTATGTCTTTCATATCCCTGCCAAGACCAAGTTCAGGGGTTTTTTCAATGAAGGCAAAGCAGACACCACCCTCAGAAAACAGTGGGACTACCATTTGGAGCAATCGCTCCCCATTGTCATTATCCATAACAATTGTTCCAATCCATGTCCACCCGAAATGCAGCAGCAGAGAGAGAATCCCTGCGTACTGGAGGGATTCCCTGGGAGTCATATTGTAGAAAGAAAGGTCTGGGGTTTTATGATTCATCACTGGTGCAGAGCCATATATCAACTAGGGAGATACACGAAGGAAAGTGAGCAATGCCAAATAATGAGGACCTTTCTATAGGAACTTTGATGTTTTGAAAAGATTTTCATATATTACTTCAGCAGTCTTTTCAACCATAGTAAAATACATGGATGTAATGGCACATGGGTGTACATCCAATGGTGCTTGAAAATGGGTCTCCAATATGGTAAAATAGGACATCGTAAGATTTTTTCCACTATGTGTCTATGTTCGTGCGTGTGTGTGTGTGTCCTTGTTCATGTGTTCCCTGGACTTTTATGACAAGCATACAACTGCCTAGGAATAGTTCTTAGGTCTCAATTAAAGTGTCCCAGATATCCAAAGATATGCATCTGCAGGCTCTGTCAATACACTTCCTTCTATTCATATGTCAAAATATTATATGGACCTCAGTCATTGTCTTATAAATGAGGGTTCACCTCCAACCTTTTGTATTGTCAATCTTTTAGCATCAAGAGTGCCCAGAGATAACATTTCATCCATATGATAATTTCCATGGAATATTTCAATTATTTAACACCAGTGAATGATCCACTGAATATTAAAGATTATTCAGTGGAAAGTATGAATGTGTAATAATTGCACTCCACACAGAAAAAGTGACTGCTAGCATTTGAACAGCATATGTTGCAAAGAAGTATTTGCTGCATTGGACCATGAGAAATTGGGCAATTGATTATTAAGGAGACATTGCAGTGTCCAAGAGACGCAGAACAACATTTTTTACTGAATGAGGTTCAATTTAAGAAATATAAGTAAGACTGACATTTTTCAAATGAGCCATCCACTCAGAAATTTTTTGGTGAGTTCCCAGCACAGCACTTTCTCAAATTCCCAAATGTGTCCAGGGGTCCAAAGAGGTTAGACACCACTGCTAAGATCTGCATAAAATGGCCAAAGTTCCCCCTCCCTGCAATTCCTATTTCCCCAAAACCACTAAAAATGATGAAACTTATTTTCTGAGCCAATGTGATATTCAGAAGCAGTCTGACTCCTTCTACCCTGCTGTCTCCTCACTTCAATCACCAACACACTCTGCCTTCTCCTGAAATGGTGAGTCAGCCAAACTGAATGCAAGGAGGAAGTAATGGAGAGCTCTGTCCTACCCTGCCCTTCCTAGGGAAGGCAGGAATGAGGAGGGAGGAAAATGAAGAGTGTCCATAGGATTTCTAAATGGAACAGGATGTTTATGTGAATGAGGTCTGAGCCTCTGCCTAGAACAGATCCATGCCCAGGTAAATGAATGGAGTCCCAAAAGAAATCCCGTTCTCCCCACATAGTTTGCTTCACCTTCAATGTTGTCACTCATTCAGTGAAGAGAGAGAATATGATTACTCCAATGTACAAATCTCCATATCCAAAGCACAAGTGCACAAATGAAAGAAAAACGTGAATGTGAAGAAAATGCAAGAATCCCATTCCTGATATTCAACTAAAGACATGCTCCCCACCTGTGGAATCTTGTAGATATCCAAGAGAGTTGCTACATGAAGGGAGGTTTGGGAGTCCAGTCCCCCAATGACGGCTATCAAGTGTTGCTGGATACCGCATTTGTAGTTTGGGATTAAGTGCCCTGCTGCACATATCAGTAGCAAGGTGGCCTGATAGGTCCACTTGGCCGTGAAGTAGCTGTCATAGATATGGAAGCCCAAGGTGAGGTTGGGCAAGATGAGGGGGTTGTCATTGATCTCCTGCACTGCAAACGTTAAGGCCAGGATATGTTGGTAATTCTTTGGCACCATACTAGAAGCAACACAGTCACCTTCTGTATTAGAATGTTTCTCACAAAGAATTGTGTAAGAAGCTCACACTGCTTTTTGCATCACCATCACCATCTCAACCTCATCTCTGGCTTTCCATAGCCAACACAAAGCTAACACAGTCACACAATAGCCACATTCATCTTCCAAACAGACCATTCCTTTGGCATTCTCGTGGTTATGGAATTGAAAAATGTGATCCTATTAATGTCAACTCAGATAGTAATCACCAGACTCCAATGAAATGAAGTGCATCAGTGCATAATGCCATGATGCTATTACCCTTTTGGCAGTGTCTCATGAACTTCCCAATGAAGAGGCTTATGTGAATCCTGTGCAGGGTGTGAGGCACAGGGGCATGCCATGCATTTTCTCTTAGGGGACATTTTCAGTCCATGGAGCTTGGGAGCTTAGAAAACACATTTGTCTGTTCACATAGTAGTCCCAGATAGGAGGAATATCTTTTTAGTATGTGAAAACAGTTAAAATTAGTGTGACTGGATACACCACAATCAATATAAACCCCTCTAAGTGACAGGGAGACATGTAATGCAATTGTTTGCAATTGTAACAGGGAACATTTGTCCTGGGATGCAGCCAGTGTTCAAATTTGCTGTTCTCCCTCTTTCCATCCTGGCATGGATCAGGACATTCAGTAGGGGGTCTAGTGGGGCTGCTGCTGTGGAAATGAAGGGCAGGAGAATCTTTTTCCCCTGAAGAGCTGATCCAATACTCTGAATGCTGGCATTATGCATTTCCCAAAGGAGCTGGCAGAATAAAAAGAGGTTAATGAACAGAGGTAATAATGAAGACATAAATGAAAGAGAGGTAACCCTGAAGAAATTTGTGTAAGAAAGAAATTGGTGGAGTAAATAACCAAAAATTCTAGAATAACAGAATGGTTCCAAGCAGAAGTAAACTTATTGTAAAGAAGCTTAAATTCACACCAAAACGCCTCCTTCTGGCCATGCAGATAACAGTTTCCATATGCCTTTAATAATATGAACTTCCTCTACTGCCCAAGCTATTGTTCACAAGCTGCATCTACTAAAATAAATTCTAGAGACAAGCAGAACAAATGTACAAACTGGATGCAAAAACAAAATATTAACTCCTCACACAAGTTCATCAAGCAGTGAAAGTGCAGGTTCTCCACTGAAGGTCAATGCATCAGGAATGATGAAGGACAGAGAAGCAATGGCACCGATCATGAAATCACCCAATTGTGGAAACTCATGAAGTGGAGGCTGGGGCTCATGGCTCTTGCGTTTTTCAGCATCAGCTGTGCTTCCTATTTGGAGAAGCAAGTTTAGCAACAGCACTCCTAATTCCTCCATGTGTAGTGGAAGGATAAAACTTTGTTCTTCATGTAAATCCACTCATTCTCATGCAGAGCCCTGAGATTACAAATGTAGGCTACCTCAGAGCAGTGTTGTCTCTATTAATCCCTATGACTAAATAACACTGTATATATTGCCATATTTGACAATGCAGTAGAGTTCCTTTGTTCATTAGAAATCTTCAGGGATGTTCAGTATCAATGGAACTGCCTTTTAGCAATTAAAGGAGAACAGATTAATTGGTTGTAAGGTATGTTGAAGTTCAAAACAGGTGCTATTTTTCATGCATGAAATGGGAAGGAATCATTAGAAAAGAATGCAGAGCTATGAGGCTGTATAAAGCATGAACCCCATGGGAGATTTTTCTTTTACTGTGGTTTTAATGTACACAACTCCAGTTTGGATTATGACCAGAGTGCATGGGAAGAGAAGGGAAGGTTAATCCTACCTCTGCTATTCCCTTTGCAATATTCTTCCTGCCCTTGCCAAATGGAATCTTTCTGCTCATACTAAATTTCCGAAGCACATGAGCAGCTGCATATGGGAGGGGAATTTAATTCTCTACTCCTTCCATCTTGTGATCCCAGTGTAAACTGGAAGCAATCCCTTTATAGGTCTAAGAAAATTCTTTACCTGATTGTACAAACAGTTGAGTTGTCCAGAACTGATCATCAGGCTGTGTGTGCATGTGTGGGTGACTGGGAAGAGCAGAATTTATTCCCAACTCTCTAATACACCCCTGTCAATGTATACACCTGTAGGCCTCATGAAATACTCCAAATTGAATTTTAGCTGTTACGAGAATTTATTTATTTGAAATATTTCTACCCTGTCCTACATGAAAATCATCCCACGATGGCTTACAATATTAAGAACAATAAATAAACAACATATATCATAACAAAATAATCAAAATCAAAATGCAACTGTGAAATATTATAAAACCAAGTTAAAATTCCTCAGTCATTAAAATAACAGGTAAATTAAAAGGGTTTTACCTGGAGCCAAACCTCTCAGGGGAGTGCATTCCACAGTTGGGGCATCACCATGGAGAAGGCCCTACTCAGATATACCCCCTCTTTACCTCCTTCTGGGAGGGTTCCCAGAGCAGGGCCTCTCCTACAGATCTTAGGGTGAGAGAAGGAATATGGGAAAGTGGATTTGGCAGTCTGAGCAGATAAGCATGAGAACCAAGGGGCTTCTTGGAAATGTCAAGAAGTTGGTTCAATGGTTCACCATAAACTTAAAAATTTCAAGGATATAGAAGGTTAAGTCTTGCTGGGAAAGAATAAAAGTAACTTCTACAAGGGTAATTACTCTTTATTCCATTTAAAGTGTTATATTACAGTCTCAATAAGCATATGGAAAAGTGTGATGCTGTGGACCTTGTTTATGTGGGGTTTGAAAAGACCTTGACAAACTCTTCACCAAGAAGTTCTCTTCTGACCTGGTAACAGGTGTGAGGTAACTTCACTAGTACAGTGATGATGCCTGAGCTGGTGGAGACAGATCAAGAAAATACTGGTGAAGGCTGGTGGCAAATGTTCATTAGAAATGTGCACAGATGTTGAGTAGTAACAGAACTGTCCTTCAGACAATTAAAAGATATTGTGGCAATTTGGCCTCAGATGGGTTGACAATGAAAACACGTGTTGATTTTCACATTGATGTACAGCAGGATATTTATATTAGAAATATGCACGGAATGGAAATGAATACTCAGAAAGGAACACAGTACAATGAGGCTATGCAGAGCATTCAGTATGAATCCAACAGGAGTTTATGGTTATACCATAACCTCCTGAAGGTGGTCTGAGGGTGAGGAACTTCTGTCTGACACCCTTGTCATGGTCAAATCACTTCCTGGTGAGGTTTGTGCTCGAGAGTGACCTCTCCCTCTGTAAGGGTGCAGACCCAACTGTGTGGGTCCGCCCCCGGAGCCGGATGGATCCGGATGGATTCCTGAAGGCCCTGGGGGAGTTTCCGGCTGACAAGACTGGTGCTCCTGTCGAGGCTCTGGTCGAACTGTGGAATGGGGAGATGACCAGGGCTGTTGACACGATTGCTCCTAAGTGTCCTCTTCCACCGGGCAGAGCCCACTCTTCCCCTTGGTATACACCTGAATTGCGGGTGATGAAGCAGGCTGCAAGACGGTTAGAGTGTAGGTGGAGGAGATCACGGGATGAATTTGACCGAACACACTTGAGAGTCCATGATCGGGCCTATGCTGTGGCGGTGAAGGCGGTGAAAAAGAAATTCTTTTCCGTTTCCATTGCCTCCTCAAAATGCCGTCTGGTGGAGCTTTTTCAAGTGGTGCAAGGCCTGGTTCATCCTGGCCCTAAGGAAGATCTGGTTCCACCCTCGAAGGCCCACTGTGACGACTTTGCCAAGCATTCCAGGGAGAAAATCACTCAGATTCGTCACAAGCTGGACTCCACTAGTGACTCAGAGGTTTCTGGAGAGATACCAATGCCGCCGTCTAGTCCAAAATTAATGGATGAATTTCAGTTATTGCTGATAATGTGGACAAGGTGCTTGGACGAGTAAGTCCCACCACTTGCCTATTGGACCCTTGCCATCTTGGTTAATAAAAAAAACCAAGCACGGGATTGGGATCTGGATCTTGGAAGTGGTTAACACTTCTCTGAGGGAGGGTCGGGTACCTGCCCTGGAGGCGGTAGTCCGACCAGTCCTGAAGAAAGCATCACTGGATCCAGAGATGGCCACTAATTATAGACCAGTGGCCAACATCCCGTTTCTGGGCAAGGTGTTAGAGCGGATGGTGGCGGGACAACTCCAAGCACTCTTGGATGAAACTGCTTATCTGGACCCAGTTCAGTCAGGCTTCAGACCCGGGTAAAGTACTGAATCTGCCTTGGTCGCCCTGTATGATGACCTGTGCAGGGAGAAGGACAGGGGGAGTGCATCCCTGTTGGTTCTTCTGGCCCTCTCAGCGGCTTTCGATACCATTGACCATGGTATCCTTCTGGATAGGCTAGCGGGATTGGGGGTCGGAGGCACTGCTTTGCAGTGGTTCTGCTCCTATCTCAATGACCGTTTCCAGAAGGAGGTGCTGGGGGACTATGGCTCTGCACCATGGCAGCTATGCCATGGAGTACCACACGGGTCCATTTTGTCCCCTTTGCTGTTTAACATCTACATGAAACCGCTGGGAGAGGTCATCAGGAGGTGTGGGCTGTGGAATCATCTGTACGCTGATGATACCGAGCTCTACCTCTCATTTTCCTCCAATCCGGGTGAGGCAGTGGCTGTGCTGAACTGGTGCCTGGCCAATATAATGGGCTGGATGAGGGCCAATAAACTGAAGGTCAATCCAGACAAGACGGAGGTCCTGTTGGTTGGCGGATTGGGCTTCGGTGAGGGTGAATTGAACCTAGTCCTGAATGGGGTTGCACTCCCTCTCAGGGACAAGGTCCGCAGTTTGGGAGTGCTCCTCGACACAGAGCTTTCACTGGAAGCTCAGGTGACAGCAGTGGCGAGGAGCGCTTTCCTCCAGCTTCGGCTGATCCATCAGCTGCGCCCCTACCTGGAGTATGACTGCCTGGCAACAGTGACAGACGCGTTGGTGACTTCCCGCCTTGACTTCTGTAACACACTCTACATGGGGCTACCCTTGAAGAGGGTCCGGATACTTCAATTGGTTCAAAGTAGAGCTGCCAGGTTGCTGACGGGGACTGGGCGTTATGTCCACATGACTCCAGTCCTCCATCAGCTTCACTGGCTTCACATTGAAGTCCGGGCCCAATTCAAGGTGTTGGGGATGATCTATAAAGCCCTAAATGGCTTGGGTCCTGGTTACCTGAAGGAGCACTTATGTCCATATATGTCCACCTGCCCCCTGAGATCAGCGGGAGAGGCCCTTCTCTGGGAACCCTCCGTGAAGGAAATTAGGAGGTAAGTACTCAGAGGAGGGCTTTCTCTGCGGTGGCACCCAATCTATGGAATGCGCTCCTCAGAGAGGTCTGCCTGGCACCGTCGTTATTTGTTTTTTGGCATCAGGTGAAGACCTTTTTATTCAAATGTCATTTTAACTGTTAATAGTATTTATTTGTTTTATTCTTTGGCCAGGGTGACTTATTTTGTATTGTTAACTTGTTTTACATTGTTAATTTATAGAATTTTAATTGATTTACTTGTGAGTTGCCCCGAGGCTTCCGCGAACGGGGCAGCATAGAAATTTTCTAAATAAATAAATAAATAAATAAAACCCTGGAGTAAAACCAATCAACCAATTCAATTTGGGTTGGGACCACAGTGTATGGGCAGTGAAGGTTAATTGTCCCTCTACAGGTTTTGATTTGCAATATTCTTGCTATCCTGCCAAATGATTTTTTCCACTCACACTAAATTCCAGAAAGCACATTAACAACTGTGTATGAGAGGAGAATTTAATTCTCTTCTCCTGTTGCGCTGTGGTTCTAGCGTGAACTGGGAGCATCACCGTTATTAAGAATAAAACAAATTGTTCGGGTCCCCTTTAGTTGGGGTCAGTCCTGATTTCACCCCTTGTAACTCAGTGCCTCTGTCCACAAAGTAATTAAGGAATCTACCCTCCCTCCTCAATCTATAGCACACTAACCCTTCCCACCACTATTCTGTCTTTTTCCCATTTTATTGAATTTTAATTTAGCAAAAACAATACTCAGAATTACACAAATATAAAACAATACAAATAATATAGTGATGAAAAACATATTGAAACAGTACAAAAATAACATCACCACCAAGAGATGCATGCTATGTATTGTAAAATCATTAAAACATTCAAGTTGCTCCACTCCAACTCCCCTTCCAGAACTTCATTGCATCTTGTGATGGCTCACTTCTTTCTCCCTGTATTACTGTCCTGAGAGGCAGCCCGGTATGTAAACATTCCACACATTCTAGAGCAATGAAACTAAAGTCCTTTAATGCTAATTGTCTACAAGATTTACAATTCTATAGGTAAGTTCCCTAATAGCGGTCCTTGCTAAGCAGATGTCAGCCCTATAATGGCTTCTCTTCCTGAGCCCACGTGGGATCATTCTTACAAGTCACGCCTTTCCTCCCTCTTACACTGTCTACTTTGTAGTTGTTCAAATCGGCATAAAATACATCTGTTCTGGGCTCTTGAAAAATCCACACCTATCGTGTCTTCTGTTTCTGGCTCAGGGAGATCAGCATCAGGGTGGAAGAGGCAGTTTGCTCTGTCTCCTGCTGAGTAGAAGTTGCAGCTCCCTATTTCTCATGACTCTCTGTCTCTGATAAAGGTCCAGGCATTTGCTCAACGTGCTGGGGCTCAGAGGAAGATGCAGTAGCTGGCTCAGCCGTCCCTGCACTGGGTTGTGGTGTCAACTCTTGGGCACTGGGTGCCAAGTGCAAGGTCTCGTCATGAGTCACTGTTTCTGTCGGAGCTTCATGCATGACAATTATGTACATTTTCAATAAACAGTCTCCAAATATCTTCAAAATTTGTTTGATATATCACACTTTTTTCCCACTTAAAATTGCCTGGTATCACTATTGGCGTTGTATAAAGTCTCTTTATAACAATCTTTTACCTGATAATCAGCTGAATTGGCAGCTTTTCTTCTATTTTAATTGCTCAGACTTTCATCCCCAAGGCCTGAGGGGTAGCAAGAAGTACAGATGGAGAGTTGGAAAGGAAGAGAAGGAAGAGGGATGACTTGGATTCCCTCTGGAAGAAATCCCAAAGTGGCTGAGGGGTGACCAAAGGTCAGTTGCACTAGGGATGCTGCACACACTCAAGTTGAGCTAAACATAAAAACCTTTCAGGGATGAAATGACACAAAGCTCCAAAGCCCACCTTCTGAGCAAAATGATATCTGATCTAGTTGTAGAAGCTCTCAAAGTGCTGACCTCTCACAAGCCTGATGCAGGAGTCCAACTGTGCATACAAGATGCTTAGGTGTCTAACATGTGCTAGTTTATTTTTCCTTTCTGAAGCAATCAGCTTTGCTCAAACTCCATGTAAGTAAAGCAGCAACTGGCCTTCCTCAAGTACCTCTGGAAAATAAAAATGATGTATCATGATTGATTTGCATGTGAGGGACTCTTTTCAGTCCACCAGCACAATGGTCAGAGGAACAGGGCCACGTGTTTCAGTGGAGCTTTGTCAAAATAAGAAGCAAATGAAAAACTTTAGGGATCACAAGATGAACTCTTAAAGACAAATTGTGTAAAAAAGCATGGCCCTTGGCAAAAACACAAAACAAAAGAAGACATGGATAAATAGATGAATTGCAAGCTGCAGCAAAGTGTGTAGGAAGGTATATTTTTCAAGTTGTTCTCCTTATTAGATGTTCCTTCTTGTTCAACTCAGGTCTCAGCAAAATGATGTAACATTTGGGGAAGAAGATGCAAACCAGCAAGCCAGAACTGGAGGCTAAGATAGAAAAGATCTCTACAGTCACCAAGCATTTCCTTTTGGTGCTCAGGTAGGAAGGCACAAAGGATAACCACACACTGCAAAAGACCAACATGCTGAAAGCAATGAACTTGGCCTCATTGAAACTGTCCGGCAGCCTCCTGGCAAGAAAAGCCACCATGAAGCTGACCATTGCCAGGAAGCCCAGATAGCCCAGGACACAATAGAACATCATCATGGATCCCTCATTGCATTCCAGGATGATTTCTTCAGCCACTGAATGCATGTCAATATCTGGAAAAGGAGGAGAAGTTGCCAACCAGATCAGGCAGATGACTGCCTGAAGAAGACAGCAGGAAAGAAGGAGGGTGTTGACCAGGCTCTTCCCCATCCATTTCCTCATTGTGCATCCAGGTTTGGTGGCCCTGAAGGCCAAAACCACCATGACTGTCTTTGTGAGCACACAAGAAACAGCCACTGAGAAGATGAGGCCAAAAGCAGTTTGTCGCAGGAGACATGTCACCTGGTGTGGCTGACCAATGAAGAACAGTGTGCAGAGGAAGCAGAGCAGGAGGGAGAGGAGGAGAGTGTAGGTGAGGTGCCGGTTGTTGGCTTTGACGATGGGCGTCTCGTGATGCTTCAGAAAAATTCCTAGCACCAAAGCCGTGATCAAGCAGAAGAGAATAGTGAAAGAGGTTAAAATGATGCCCAAAGGTTCTTCATAAGAAAAGAAGTTAACAGACTTGAGGATGCAGAAATCCTGGTGCTTGCTTGGGTACTTTTCATCTTCACATGAATAACAGTAAGTCATATCTGAGGAAAGATAAATACAAGCATATTCTCAGGATTGTACAGGTCCCACCAACAGGCCCCATCAACTTCTCAGATGAATTCTTTTCTAGTCAGAGTAGAGAATCCATTAGTTTCATTGTATCCACATTTGTAAAATCTCAGGCATTTTCCACTATGAATATGAAGAAATCACTCATATGCTGTTACAGACCAATTGAATAAAAATTCCAACATTCTGCATGAGCAAATTCCATAGCTGTTTCCAGCATGAAGGGGACCATTGTGAATCGACCTGCCATGGAGCTGCTGAAATCATGAGTCTTTCATAGGAGAAAGTTGGGGGAAGCCCTAATTCATGACTCACTTGGTTGAATACACAGTGATTTTATGTTCTTATGTGTTCTACTGGTCTAATCAAAAGGCTCATCAACTTCTCAAATATAATATTTTTGAGTCAGTCTAGAGAATCCATTATTCATTCCATCCATATTTGCAAAATCTCAAGTGCTCTCCCCTCCAAATTTGATGAAACTGCAAATTTCCTATTGCAAACCAAATCAAAAGGACACCCACCCACCCATCCCCATAACTGCAGCAGCCAAATATAGTAGCTGTTTCCTGCAGGGAGAGGACCATGAATTATTGCCCTGCCCTAAAGCTTTTCAGGATGAAGACCCTTTCATGGGGCAGTGTGAAGAGGCAGAGGGCCTCCCCCATCTTCCTTTGGCATCCAGCAGAGAGGAGCTGATGGTGATGGCGCATGGTCAGGAATGTTCTTGGAAGAAGAAGGCACCTTACTCTGAGTGCTGGGATGCTCAAGTGTGTTCACAGCTGGGTGGGATTAATGATGGGGCAGGGATAGCTGGGTTCACTGGAATGGCTGTTGAGATGTAGGAATGAAGGAGGAGGCTATACCAGAAAGGTGGGATGGAAAAGGAGGAAAACTAGAGAGAAGTGGAGAAAATGAAAGGAAGGAAAAAGGCAGAAGAGGAAGCCTGGAAACATCTGCATGTTGGAGAGCCCCAGAGAACTGACAGCCTGAGAGAAGCAGTGAGGAGAAAGCCCATGTATGGCAGGCATAATTCCCTGCCACACCAATCAGGATGCTGCACCTTATGCTAGATCCAGGGAGGAGGAAGGGACCAAGCAGGGATTGGGTACTTCAGGAAGTGCAGTCACAATGGGAAACCGTGAGTCGCAATAAAGGAACCAGGAGAGCAAGCATACTTTCCTGGTGGGACTTCCATGGAGGTTAAGGAACAGGGCGCCTTCAATGTGTCCCTCTCTCCTGATCCCATTATGGCTGGATACACAGTAATTTTAGACCTAGAGTTCTATGAACTAAACACTCAGTGCCATCAACCTGGATGGATGGATGGATGGATACTTTCATCCATTTCAGTTTGCATCTGCAGAGTCAAATACCACACATGTGTAGGAAGCAGTGATAATTGGCTTATTCGGTAAAACAGGCCATTGCTTGTATTGGCTACAGTTTCGAAAGGACCAGAATGCAATAACAAAGCAGTCCAAGTTTTGGCTGTTTCCCCAGCTTGCCTGCTGGGTCACTTAGACTATGATAGGTTATTAAGTCAATGACAGCATTATCACATATATTTAGAAAAATGTACATTCTAATGCCTACCCTTCTTGCCTGAAATCTTCCCTTTGGGGCATGGGATGCAATCGTAACAGCAAAATGGCTCCCCTTCCTTGACCTTCTTCCTAGAACCAGGATTACAGCTCTCACTGCATGCAGATAGAGGCTGTGCCTATGTCATCAGAGGAGCAGGAGAATGAGAATCATGAGAATTACTCATCAGTATACTTCCAGTTAAGCAATCTCTTTGTAAGTTATTAAGCTCTCCAGGATCTGCTTTCCATAAATGTGCTCTGTGGGACTTTGGTAAGGTTGAAACTATATGACTGTGTTATACAGGGAAACTGCATGTCTGCTTGCCATCTGCTTGTAAATGGAATGGAGAACTGGTGCAAAATTTGGGGATCAAGATTCCATATGAATGGTGTGATGAACCTAGTTCCTCCTGGGGTTGGAAAAAGCACTGCTTTTCGTTTCCCTAAATTCTCCCAAAATCACTTTTCAATGTGCTCCCATTTCTGACATGTTTTTCTGCTTCTTTGAATTGGTGAGCTATCCATTTTATGTCTTTTCTCAAAAAACCCCCCAAAGTGTGTACTGTTACTCTTTTTTCAAGAGATACATATTTTTCAGTGAGCATTAAAATATGATTCTTTTTTTAAAATGCCTCATGAATCCTCAAATTTGCAAGCATTTTTCCAAGGATAACATTCGTTGTTCACATGATTTGCCACAAATGGAATTGCTTTATATCCCTCCTCCCTCATTTCCAAATGCAATTTCATTAAGATATGGTTGGATCGTGGTGTGCCTATCTGATATTGAAACCAATCAAAAGAAGATTAAGATGGGACTTTCTTTTTCCTGTGATAATGCTGGAATTGAAGCTCATCTTAATCTTGACTATATAAACCACTCTGTGGTGTTCTTTTTTTTTTTTTTAAATGGGATATGAACCTGATACTTAGATTGACAGGTAATAGATCAATAGATAGATCGATGGATAAATAGATAGATCAATTCAACTCAGTATTACTGTTGGGTTAATAGAAGTGATGGTCTCCATATCTGAATATTTAAAATCCTATTATTTCCATCTCAAATATGAAAGAACTTGAAGATTTCAATATTTTTACCCAAATGTAAAACTGAAATGAAATTGTCAGTTGCATATTAAAATAGCAAAAAAACCCACCATACATTGCCACCTTCCTGCCATAATGCTATGAAGAATGAGAAGCGTGTCAGAGAAATAAGAGATGGGAACACTAATTGAGAGCTTGCTGTTCTGATCACCTTTTCTTTCCATCTTCAATAACAAGGCACCTGTTATTTTTAGTAAAACAATATGTAAAACAGCATTTTCACCCATTCCACAGTCAAGGAATAATGAAAGAGCACATATTACAAAAGAGAAAACTGAGCATGGTGCATTTTACTGTAGACTGTATCAAATTTCAGTCATTCTATGAAAAGCCACATTGAAAGCAGTGGGATGTTAATCATAACTAATTTATAAATACGTTCTCTTCCATTCAGTGTTCTCTCCTATGTATGACTACATCTGGATCTGAATGTGTCTTCATAATTGCATAATATTATCTTGTGTTAGAATGATATAGAGCTAAGTTGAAAAAAGAGCTAAGGCCCTAAGTATATTTTAAAAAGGGGAATTAATGCAATTTTATTTTATTTTTCCTTCAACTGGTTCATTTAAGGAAGGAAGGAGGAAGCTTATTGGATCTAATGCACTTTTTGGATCTCATGCGCTGGGTCACATACTGTGCTAAACAGTTACAATTGAAGATTTTTCTAGGTCCATTATGGTCAAATGAAAGAAAATACACATGTCACTACTGAGACTATTATTCAAATGTGTAGATTGTGCCAATCCTCCAAGAACCAGACCTGATTAAACCAACTGTTCCATGTTATGGCTTCTGGACTGATGGTGAATGCTTGGACTGCAGCAGCCTTGGCATCCATCCTACCAACTTTCACCCTTCCAAAGGATTGGTTTGAGGAGGCAATCCAGTTGATCACATCAAATCCAGTTACTAACTCTCCATTCTGGTTAAAAGAAACCTGGTCCCCAGCACTATTGTTAAATGAAACAAGCTTCAGAAAATGATGGAGCTGGATTGAAAATGAAGGACATTAGAAAAACTGTGAAAGGAATCTGCAGACACACAGAGAGAAATGCTGGCACCAGATGGCTGCCATTATTCTTATTGTTTGTTTTCATAGTCCCTTAATGCCTTAATACTTCTCTCATTCAAAGGTAGTATCAAATTTCTTTGGAGGTTTCAGTCATTTTTCTAGCCATTCTACAAATAGAGTTCATGACAAGAAGCTTATTTTATATATTCCAGCACAGAAAGATATGTTCTAGATCCTTGCTCTTTGTTCTAAGAACAGGCATCCATGATCATCTAGTTTAAATATGAACAGAATGAGTTCCCGTGCTATATACCGATGCATAATCTACAAAGCTGTGTTTCTCTCACATGAGGGTATTAAGCACAATACCTGCCACTGTACTTGGCTCTGAAATGTCAGTCCACCTCTGGTCACCATTCCTCTGTTGTTCAGACTAGATAAAGTCATGGCATGCAAGGCATGGGCCACCGCATGGACAGCATTGTAGACATTGTAGCTGTGGCCGGTCAAACTCATTTCAAAGAATGACCCTGGAAGACTCTCCAACTTCTCATCCCCAGTGCACATATTCCCATCTGCATTGCCCAGAAATGGATCTCGAAATACACAGATGAAAGCGTTTTGCCAGAAGGACCTAAGAAAACCATCTCCTTTTGGACTGGAAGGGTCTTGTGCTTTAAGGAATTCTTGAAATCCTGGGACATCATTAGATTGAATTGTGAAAGTAAGAGCACCATGGAAAAAGTCTATGTTCCAATTGCTTTGAGAGACAAATGACGTGAGCTCCACCTGAGCTGTCAAAATTATTACTTTACCAATTGGTGTATTTTCCACATAGCCTCGTTCTGAGAGATATGGTAAGAATCTAAAAAATGCCATGGAATACGATTCTCCATTGGCCACCAATACATTGGCTGTGCTGTCCGCAATATTATCACGTATTTTTGCCCCCTTCTCCATGATGTTTTTCATATCCCTGCCATGAGCTAGTTCAGGGATCTTTTCGATGAAGGCAACACAAACACCACTCATGGAAAACAATGGGACCACCATCTGCAGGAATCGCTCCCCATTGTCATTATCCATAATGACTATCCCAATCCATGTCCACCCGAAATGCAGCAGCAAAGAGAGAATGCCTGCATACTGAAGGGACTCCCTGGGAGTCATGTTGTAGAAGGAAAGGCCTGGGGTTTTATCATTCATCACTGGTGCAGAGCCATATATCAGCTAAGGAGATGCAAGAAGGAGAGGAAGAAATGCAAAATAGTACAGACTTTCTTGTAGCAGCATCAACGTTTTCAAAACATTTGCATGTAGACACTCAACAATTTTCTCATCCTTATCACCCACAGATCCCCAGTGTGTCATGGCACAGGTGGGCACTGTGATTGTGCCTGAAAAGGTGTCTCCTATGTGGCAACATTGGCCTTCCTGCTTTCCCACTATATGTATATAAGTGCTTGTGTGAGTGCTTTTGTCTGCATGGATTTGTATGACCAACATATTACTTCCTTGGATTAATTCTCAGTCTTCGGCAAAAATGTCTCAAATATCCAAAGAAGTATGCATTTGTAGGCAGTGTTGATGCACGTCATCCTATTCATGTCTCAAAATATTTTAAGGTCCTCTATTGTCTGATGGATAGGTGCTCTCCTGTGCCATATCAGTTTCATAGTGGTTGTCTTTCAGGCATAAAGATGGCACAGAGAATCCACTTCATCCATATGTTAATTTCCAGAAAATAATTTATTAAATGAGGGAATGATCCAATGAATATTAAGGATTATTAGGTGCAAGGTCAACATGGGAAATTATGTCCTCTGCACAAAAAAAAAAAAAAAAAAAAAAGTATTCCCTGCACTGAAGCATGAGCTGCTATCAAATCTGGAAATCAAATCTCTATCATCTCTCTATAAAACTGGCAACCTTCCCCCTTCCTGCATTACATATTTCACCCAAATATCTTCAAAATAAAATAATGAAATTTATTTTTCAAGCCAATGTGATATTCAAAAAAGGGCTACCTGCTTCCTCTCTCCTATCTCCCCACAGCAATCCACAACATACTTCCTGCTTTCCTGCAATGCTCAATGATCCAGGCTCATGGTGAATGCAGAGCCTCCTGCATGGGTGGTGGGGGGTGGAATGCGGAGCCCTCTCCTTCCCAGCTATGGCTAGGGATGGCTAGAGCAAGACACAAGGAAATAAGGAGAACACATGGCTTTTGAAAACAGAATGGGAAGTTCACGTGAATGTGGTTTGAGCTTCTGCCTGCCTCCTCTATTAGATCCACATCCACATAAACAGAGCTGCAGCAGATTTCCCCCTCACTCCCCATTGTTTGCTTTCCCTTTAATATTGTTGTTCATCCAAAGGAGACAGACAATATGAGTATTTCCAAAATACAAATCTTCTTCTCTATTGCACAAGTGCACAAACGAAAGAAGAATGTGAAAGTGAAGAAAATGTTAGACTCCCATTCCCCATTTCCATCTAAAGACATGCTCCCCACCTGTGGGATCTTGTAGGTATCCAAAAGAGTTGCTACATGAAGGGAGATCTGGGCATCCAGTCCCCCAATGACTGCTATCAAGTGTTGTTGGATGTCACATTTGTAGTTCGGAACTAATCTCCCTGCTGCACAGATCAGTAGCAAGGTGGCCTGATAGGTCCACTTGGCCGTGAAGTAGCTGTCATAGATGTGGAAGCCCAAGGTGAGGTTGGGTAAGATGAGAGGGTTGTCATTGATCTCCTGCACTGCAAATGTCAAAGCCAGGATATGCTGGTAATTCTTTGGCACCACACTAGGAGCAAGAAAGTTATCTCCTGTATTAGAATGTTCCTCACACAGAATTTTATAAGCAGCTCGCACTTCTTGCACCATCAACTTTAGCATCATCATCATGATCTCAGCCTCATATCTGCCTTACCTTGCTCTACATGAGGATAACACAGTCAGACAATATTGATATTCATCTTATGAATAGACCATTTCCTGACTTTGACATGGTCAAGAAGTTGAATGCTGTGATTCCACGGATAGTAACTCAGAGAGTAATCACAAGTGAAACGTGTCAGTCTATTATGTCATGATTTTATCAGCCCTGTGGCAGAATCTCATCAACTTCCCTTTGAAGGGGCTTATGAGAATCCTGTGCAAGGTGTGAAGCACAGTGGTAGATTACTGCCCTGAATTTGATCAAGATGGATATGTTCAGCCATTGGGATTTAGGGCATCAGAAGTCACATTTGTCTGTTCATATTGTAGTCCTAGTCAGGAGGAACATCTTTTAGATATATGAAAACAGTAAATGATTGTGATGGGGCCATGCACAGCATACAGGGTACACCACTCTGAATGGAATACCTTCCAAGTGAAAAGACCTGTAATGCAATTGTTTCCAATTCAAACAAGGAATACTTGTCTTGCATGGATCCTGTATCTGCTTTCCCTAAAAGCAAGGAATTTCCTTGACAGGAAGAGCTTCACACATGGTAGAATCCCTTCATCAGATTTTGGGGTTCCACCTCTGCCCAGCCTGCCACATATTATCACATTTAGTAGGGGTCTAGAGGGACTGCTTTGGGAAGGAAGAGTAGAAAGTCTTCTTCCTCAGAAGAGTAGATCCAATCCTTTTAATGCTGGCATTATGCAGTTTCCATAAAAGAGGGCAGAATAAAAAGGGAGGGATGAATTACATAGCTAGTAAGAGAAACAAAAGAGGAAGAAAACTCATCGTGGAGAAACATGTGTAATACAGAAATAATTAGAGGAAATCACTGAATATACAAGAACAAAAATAATTGTTAATAAGTTTAGATAATTAAAAAATGTTCCCTTTGGCTATGCAGATTATAAAGTTTGCACATGACCTTAATAATATGAAATTCCTCTACTGCCCAAACAATTGTTCACAGGCTGCATCTCCTACAACAAATTCTGGTGACAAGCAGATAAACAAAGAAAGGAACATATTTGAAGCAAAACCAAAATATTAACTCCTTACAGAAGTTCATCCAGCAATGCAAGTGCGGGTTGTCCAGTGAAGCTTAAAGGATCAGGAACGATGAAGGACAGAGAAGCAATGGCACCAATCATGAGATCATCCAAATGTGGATACTCATGAAGTGGAGGCTGTGGCTCATGGTTCTTGCATCTTTCAGCATCAGCCTTGCTTCCTATTTGGAGGAACAAGCTTAGAAACACCACTCCAAATTCCTCCATGCTGAGCAGGACAAAATGTTGCTCCTGATGCAAATTCACTTGTTCCCATGTAGAGCACTGAGAATACAAATGTACACTCCCTCAGAGCCGTGCTGTCCTTTTTTATCCCTATGAATAAAGATTGATGCATATATTGCCACTGTCCTTCACAGCCTATTGGAGTGACTGTGTTCATGAGAAATCTGCAGGGATGCTGAGTAGTAACAGAAATGCCCTTCAGAGAATTAACAGAGAATACAGCTATTTTGCATCAGATATGTTGACACTTAAAACAGGAGTTCCCTTTCACACTTTATGCACAGCACAGAATTTCTATTAATTGCATGCATGACATTAGCATGAATCATCAGAAAGGGGTACAGTACTATAAGGCTACACAAAGCATTCATTATGAATCCGCAGGTGTTTATGGTTCTAATCTGAAGTAAAGCCAATGAACCAATCCAATTTGGATTGGGACCACAGTGTATGGGCATAGAAGGTTATTTGTTCCTCTGCAGGTTTTTACTCTTCCCCTCCCCAGCCAATGGAATCTTCCCACTCATACTAAATTCCTTGAAGCACCTTAACAGATGTGTATAGGAGCGCAATTTAATTCTCTCTTCCTTCTGTGCTGTGGACCCAGTGTGAACTGGGAGCAGCACCTTTATTAAGAACCAAATGAATTCTAGAAATGACCAGAAATGGCTGTACAAGCTGTTGAGTTGTCCAGAATTCTTCATCAGGCTATCTGTCTATGTATGTTTGAAACTGGCTACTTCCTGGGGATTTTGGATTCTCTTTTCATGGGCCTACACAAGTATTCTTGCTTTTAAACATCTTTATCTGCTTTGCCAACCTCATTCTTCCTTCAGACATCAGAACCTAACAATATTCCTTCCTGAGTTACCTTCACAATGCTCTATCGTAGCACTCCCTATATGGGCTTGTCATAGAAGGCAATCTGGAAACTTCAGATGGTAGAAACTGCTGCTTATACTCAAGCCAGTTGAGCTATACTAGAGTGTTTCAGAGAGGAATTAATTATGTCCAATCCACAACTACCAGCTCTCCTTTTCTCATTCCAGGCACCTACTCTTCTCGGATTTGAGAATCTTGCTCTTTTAGGTGTACCTTATGGGAAGGTGGAAAAAAACCCAAAACAGGGCTTTTGGGCACCAGTTGATTTGCATGGTGCTACAAGCATTGAAGTGGCATTCTTCTGCTAGTGTCCAGCTTCAGTTCAGGCCATCATACCTGCTCAAACAGAATACTGGAGGTGACCATGCTGTCCCTAAGTTTCTCTGCAGCTCCATGCAAGCTCCTGGAGATGTTGCTGCTGCCCAAACTGCAATGGAGTGGTCAGCAGCACATCCTTGGTTTTCTTTTTCTGGCTGATTCAATATCCCAAAGTTTGTGTGTTTGTTTTCCAGCAAGTTCATTTCTTATCCAAGGCCAGGAGTCAGTCACATGCTGCTTTTCTCTTATTCTGCAGGCATACACTACATTAGCATTTCTGAGAAGTTTTTCTGTGGGCTCCCTTCTCCAGTATCTTCTGCCTGACCTGCCTGTGTAACCAGTTCTTGCATTTCCATCTCTGACCCTGCCAGCTGAGGTTCCTTCTTTCATTGCACCCCTTGCCCCTTGCCCCTGCTTTTATTTATTATTATTTATTTATTTATTTAGAAGGCTTCTATGCCACCCCATTTGCCAAAGCCTCGAGGCGGCTCACAATAGCCTTGGGACGGCTTTTCTGAGTAGAAACTTAGGGGAGGCATAGGAAGAGTATCAAGTAGCCCATCTATGTCCAAACTATTTTCCATGGAGCCACCCCAACTCACAGGACATAAGGAACTAGAATCAGGCTTCTTTCAGGTTGATGCCTTACATCCATTGCCATCCATTGTAACCCCTTCAACACAGTCAGAATTAATGTTGCTGTGATGCACTTGTTGCAACTCCTCTTCTGGAGACAGCTGTCTGGGTGGAACAGACTGAAGTGTTGAAAACAGCAGGTAGATAACAGGAGGAAATAGAGGAGATGGACCTGGACTGGGGGACGTAGAAAAGCCTGCTGGAGAAAAGCAAGCAATAATGTCTGTGTGCTGGGTTACAAAAATCCAAATCAATCATATTACGAAAAGGTGACTTATGTGTGCCTTAGTGGAATAAAAACAAACAGCAGTGTCACCCTGCACTTGCCTGGAAAGAACTAGAACTTTTTAGCCAAACTGCCTGTTCCTGGGAAAATGGCAGCACCAGAGGTTCAACTGTTTCTTTCAGAGATTGAAGCTCTCCACCTGCCAAAGGCAGTTGCTACAATGTCGCAGCACTAATCCTCTCTGGAATGCATACATGTGCCTCTTGCTATATATTCCAGCTGCTCCTTACATTCCTCAGCTTCTGTGTTATAGACATCAAAGCTTTGTATCTCATCAGCTCATGGGCTGCTGAGAACAGACCTAAGTAGGGTTTCCTGTCCTGATGTTATCAGCTCCCCCCAAGGATCAAAACCCACACCTGGGATCTCTTACTAGTCATGTGGCCCTGCTATTTGCCTTGTCAATACTCTCCAATCACCTGCATCATTATAACCTTGAATAATAAGGGCCAATAAACTGAAGCGCAATCCAGACAAGACGGAGGTCCTGTTGGTTGGCGGATTGGGCTTTGGAGAGGGTGAATTGAACTTAGTCCTGAATGGGGTTGCAATCTTAGGGACAAGGTCCGCAGCCTGGGAGTGCTCCTCGACCCGGAGATTTCACTGGAAGCTCAGGTAACAGCAACGGCGAGGAGCGCTTTCCTCCAGCTTCAGCTGATCCATCAGCTGCTCCCCTACCTGGAGTACGACTGCCTCGCAACAGTGACACATGCTAGAGCTGCCAGGCTGCTGACATGGACTGGGCGTTACGTTCACATGACTCCAGTCCTCCATCAGCTTCACTGGCTTCCCATTGAAGTCAGGGCCCAATTCAAGGTGTTGGTGATGACCTACAAAGCCCTAAATGGCTTGGGTCCTGGTTACCTGAAGGAGCGCTTACATCCTTATATGCCCAGCCGCCCCCTGAGATCGGCGGGAGAGGCCCTTCTCCGGGAACCCTCCATGAAAGAAATTAGGACGGTGGGTACTCGGAGGAGGGCTTTCTCTGTGGTGGCACCTAAGTTATGGAATGCGCTCCCCAGAGAGGTCCGCCTAGCACCGTCGTTATTTGTTTTTTGGCACCAGGCGAAGACCTTTTTATTTAAGTGGCATTTTAAATGTTAATATTATTTAATTTTAACTGGCCAGGGCGGCTTATTTTATGTTGTATTTGTGTATTTTAATCTAATGCTTATATTATTAATTTAAGATTATATTTATTTTAATTTATTGTTTTAAACCGCCCCGAGGCTTCGGCAAATGGGGCGGCATAAAAATGTTTTAATAAATAAATAAATAATATTGTCTCTGCTGTTATCTCATATTGTTCTGCTTATGCTGCATTGTATCTCGCAGTGTATCCATTCCTCTTGTACCATCAGCACACCTGTGTACATGACCCACAACCTATAAAATATTCTGTGGATACTCAGGGAACTTGCAGCCAGTTGGTTCCTGGGTGACCCTTGCAGTAACCTGAGGAGATTCGAGTGTCATGTCTTCTGTGTAGATCCAAGCTTACATTCTCCCACACTGCTAATCTGAGATTCCCTGACAGCTGATCCAGGCATGGCTAGTCAAAAATGGATGACTAGATGGGCCCCTAAAGTTACCTCTCTTCCCATGGGACTCTGCGGTATTTCTTTCAGGAACAAGGATTAAATTCCCAGCTCCAGCCTTTGTTGTAACTGCAAGCCATAGGACAAATATTTCCTATTGTGTTTTTCAAGGATGAAGCAAAGAGCGGTGAAATACCACATTAGAACTAAGATGGCAGAATGCATGACACACCAAAATGCCTCAGGCTACTAATGCCAGTGAAGTTTTGTCTAAGCTAAGAAGTAACTGGAATCATGAGAGGAAATCTTAATGACAAATTGTGTGTACAAATATGTCCTTTGGCAAGAAATGCAAAACAAAACAAAACAAAACATGGCCACACAGCTGGATTGCAAACTGCAGCAAAATGTGCAGACAGGCACACTTTTCAAGCTCTTCTCCTTATTTGTGTTCAACTTGGGTCTCAGCAAAATGATGTGACATTTGGGGAAGAAGATGCAAACCAGCAAGCCAGAACTGGAGGCTAAGATAGAAAAGATCTCTACAGTCACCAAGCATTTCCCTTTGGTGCTCAGGTAGGAAGGCACAAAGGATAACCACACACTGCAAAAGACCAACATGCTGAAAGCAATGAACCTGGCCTCAATGAAGCTGCCTGGGAGCTTCCGGGCAAGAAAGGCCACCATGAAGCTGACCATTGCCAGGAAGCCCAGATAGCCCAGGACACAGTAAAACATCTTTATGGATCCTTCGTTACATTCCAGGATGATTTCTTCAGTAGCTGTATGCATGTCAATATCTGGAAAAGGAGTAGAAGTTGCCAACCAGACAGTGCAGATCCCACCCTGAAGAAGGCAACAGGAAAGAAGGAGGATGTTCACCAGTCTCTTCCCCATCCACTTCCTCACCTTGCTCCCTGGTTTGGTGGCTCTGAAGGCCAAAACCACCGTGAATGTCTTTGTGAGCACGCAAGAAACTGCCACTGCAAAGATGATGCCAAAAGCAGTTTGTCGCAGGAGGCATGTCACCTGGTGTGGCTGGCCGATGAAGAGCAGGGCACATAGGAAGCAGAGCAGGAGGGAGATTAGGAGAGCATAGGTGAGGTGCCGGTTATTGGCTTTGACTATGGGAGTCTCATGTTGATTCCAAAAGATTCCTAGCACCAGAGTTGTGAACAAGCAAAACAGAATAACAGAAGAGGATAAAATGATGCCCAAGGGTTCTTCATAGGAAAAGAAGTTCACTGACTTGGGAATACAGAAATCCTGGTGCTTGCTAGGGTACATTCCATCTTCACATGAATACCAGTAAGGAATATCTGAGGAAAAATAAATACATGCATATTCTAATGATTTCTACAGGTCCACCAACAGGCTATATTAACTTTTTAGATGTATTGTTTTCTACGCAAAGTAGATGATCCATTAGTTTCATTGCATCCACATTTTTAAAGTCCCAAGTATTTTCCACTCTGAATATGAATATGTCACTCATATCGTGTTACCAACCAAGTGGAAAAAAATTCTTTCCAATCTTCATGAGGAAATTCAGTAGCTGATTCTGGCATGCTGTGCCCCTACCTGGAGTACGACTACCTGGCGACAGTGACACACGCACTGGTGACCTCTCGTCTGGACTTCTGTAACGTGTTTTACGTGGGGCTACCCTTGAAGACGGTCCGGATACTTCAGTTGGTTCAAAATAGAGCTGCCAGGCTGCTGACGGGGACTGGGCATTATGTTCACATGACTCCAGTCCTCCATCAGCTTCACTGGCTTCCCATTGAAGTCCGGGCCCAATTCAAGGTGTTGGTGATGACCTACAAAGCCCTAAACGGCTTGGGTCCTGGTTACCTGAAGGAGCACTTACATCCATATATGCCCTCCTGTCCCTTGAGATCTGCGGGAGAGGCCCTTCTCTGGGAACCTTCCGTGAAAGAAATTAGGAGAATAGGTACTTGGAGGAGGGCTTTCTCCATGGTGGCGCCCAATCTATGGAATGTGCTCCCCAGAGAGGTCCGCCTAGCGCCGTCATTATTTGTTTTTTGGCGCCAGGAGAAGACCTTTTTATTTAAGCATCATTTTAATTGTTAACAGTATTTGCTTATTTTATCTGGCCAGGGCGACTTCTTTTATATTGTTAGTTATTTTATATTGTTATTTTTATATTGTAACTACTGTAGTTTTCTTCATATTGTGAGCCGCCCCGAGGCTTCAGCGAATGGGGCGGCATATAAATGTCTTAATAAATAAATAAAATAAAAATAAATAAATGAAGAAGACCATGCTGTACTGGTTTGTCACAAATCTCTGGAAAATGATGAGTCTTTCATCATTAGGATTTAGGGAAGCCCTAAATCATCACTAACATGGCTAAATACACATTGATTTCAGAGCTAGAGTTTATTTATTTATTTATTTATTTATTTATTAAAACATTTTTATGCCG